TTGTTTCTGGTGTCCTTCTTTGGTCTTCACCATAGTGGAGTTTGGAGTGTGACTGTTTGAACTTCTTATCAGTATAAAAGACACCTGTCCACAACCTCAAACAGGTGCAATTGATACAGGTAATGAGTGCAGGACAGAGGAGCCTCGTAAAGAAGGTACAGGTCTGTGAGAGCCAGAAATCTTGCTTATTTGTAGGTGACCAAATACTTATTTTCCACCATAATTTGCAAATAAATTCTTTCCAAATCAGCCAATGTGATTGTCTGGATTTTTTTTTTCTCATTTTGTCTCTCATAGTTGAGGTCTACCTATGATGTCAATTACAGGCCTCTCTCATCTTTTTAAGTGGGAGAACTTGCACAATTGGTGGCTGACTAAATACTTTTTTGCCCCACTGTAAATCCTGTATAATAATAATAAATACTGCATGTAAAAATCAGCTTTTGTTTTTATTTTGCTAGAAAAACCACTTAGAACCCTTAATGAGTTCTAATGCACAAAAACACAATATAATACCCAACTCTTTGGTAAAATATAAAAGGTGATGTTACACTGAGTAAATAGATACCCAACATGTCATGCTTTAATACAACGTACACCAATGGAACGGCGTCAAACTATGGTTCCCAAAAATCTCCATAGGCATCGCTTTAAAAGCCTTTACAGGTTTACCAGTTACGCAGGAAATCCAGACCTCTCCTCTGGTCTCCACAGCAGCTGATCAGACACAGATCAGTCTGATCTGCTGCTTTACTGGCTGGCACATGGCCATTAAACACAAAGTCAAATTCAGAAGTGCCGAAATGCTCAATGCTTCGGGCTTCTTAGACCACAGAGATAATTGGGGAACTTCTAGTCCTCCATGATCCCTATGGTCAGAATCCCTATGGTGGAATAGCCGGCTGCAACCCCAGGTTACCTGGGGAGACGCCGAGCCCGGGAAACAGTGTGGGGATGGATCCCCTGCTGAACGGAACATAATCTGGCCCACCTGAAAGGGGCCCTATACTGGTTTTTCAGTGCGTTTCCTAAGCAGGCCTGTGTGATCTCAACGAAAGACTTGCAGAAATTGTTCCCTAGATGCAGGTTTGTACTTCTATTCAACCATTGACTGAGTGATGCTAACTTTAATGCACACAGAACAGAAGAGGTTTTTTTTTTAGTGAATAGACAAAAAAGGTGGAAAACCGCTTTAAGAGCAATACAACAATAGAGAAACACAGAAGAATTTCAAACTACTTTACAAAAAAAAAAAAAAAAAAAAAAGAACTAGCGTTCCTTTCTTGCATTTCCTCATTAAGCTTGCAAAATTATCAGAGCTTTTTAAATCATGTCCAAGTCTATTTACTGGGATTAGACATGCTCTTCTCTCATCTCTAAATAGTCCATTTAAAGCATGCAATTTGGATTATGACTGCTTTAACTAGAACAGCGAGTAATTGCTAGCATGAGGTAAGACATTAGGCAGATAATTCAAAGAAAGCCATAGAGGAAAAAAAATATGGGAGGTGCAGAACATGGCCCATAGAAACCCATCATGCATGTCATACATTTATGGATTGCATTTCAAAGCGAAAACTTAAATGTCAGTTGTAGCTATGGAAAGTATGAACAGCTCTACCTTCATAACACTCTGATAAACAAAGATGGCCATTCAGTGGCATATCATGGGACGCTCTCATTACTGGCTAAAAGGCAGCATACTGCGTCACCCGCTTATCTCTATTCATCTCTGCATTATCAGCTGACACACAAAGATCTGATATGTTTTAAATGCAGAACTCTAGATATACCAGATCCCTAAATGGAGCAAAGGGGAATGTAACAATATGCATCTTCCCCATGTGCTATTTTTTTCTAATACTGCCATAACCAGTAAAAAAGAAAAAAAAAAAGCCATCTGGAAAAAGAGAGATAATGCCATTACATTCAGGCAGACTACAATCTCTGCCTATGGACATCGGATGATAAAGTTGTTGTTTATTTTTTCGTTTTTTTTTTTTACACAACATTGTTTTCACGACTGCCATCTAGGGATTGCTATAGAGCTGTGACATGAAAAAGGAACCAATAAAAAAACTTTCAACATTCTCTATGTACAGATGCTGTTAGATTGGATAGCAGAACAAATGCCAAGGATCATACCAAAAGGACAAGTCTAGGTTTACCTAAAGTAACATTAACTCACCCCCATTACCCTCAGTTCTCCTAAACTAAACTGGACTAACCTTCCTCTACCCCAGCTCCTTACTTACCTTTTTTGCACAGATATGGCCCAGTCCGGTGTTTACATATCTGACAATGAAATTCTCTTCTGCTCAGGCCCCATTCATTGCCTTGAACAGAACCATATACTGAGCATTTCCAGGGGCTGAAGAGAATTTAAAGAATATGTAAACCCAACGTTTCATATTCCTGATATCTGCTGTACCATGTACCTGTACGAAAAAATGTCCTGATCTCTTTGTATTGCTTCCTTTGTGTGAAATCCCTATTGTTCCTGCCAGTCCCTCTTCTTTCCTATTACAAACTGACCACATTAGGCAGGACAGCACAGCTTGCTCAGTTCCCTAGCTGTGTTGGGAACTCAGACTGTTCTCCAATGATTAGATTTGCCTTACACCCTTTTACTGGGAAGTTCACTGTGGTTTCTCCTCCCCCAGCTCTTATACAGCTGAGAACAGAGGGAATGTGATCACTTATACGGCCCCTTTCACATGAGCGGACTGATGGGGCCAGCCTGTCCCTTTTTCAGGCGGACCTGATCAGTCCATCCATAGACTTCTATGGACCAGCAGGTGTCAACGGACAATAGTCCGCTGACACCTGCCAGCATCCAATCCGATGCACCAAAAACAGACGGATGAGGATCCGTTCCCCATCCATCCAGCGGATGACAATCGAGTGGAAACGGACAGGCAGTCCGTTTCCATCTGACCGTCCCACTGAAATCAGCGGGCTGTGTCTGTGTCCGCTCTGCAGCAGCAGAGCAGACAGAGACCTGTCATCCGCCTGCTCAGATCCACTGCTAAGCGGGAAGATCACGTTGACGGATCCGCCCCATCGGAAAGGGGCCTAAAAAAAGGGGATAAAATTGTTATATACAGTATCTCACAGAAGTGAGTACACCCCTCACATTTTTGTAAATGTTTTATTATAATCTTTTCATGTGACAACACTGAATAAATGACACTTTGCTTCAATGTAAAGTAGTGAGTGTACAGCTTGTATAACAGTGTACATTTGCTGTCACCTCAAAATAACTCACACAGCCATTAATGTCTAAACCGCTGGCAACAAAAGTGAGTACACCCCTAAGTGAAAATGTCCAAATTGGGCCCAAAGTGTCAATATTTTGTGTGGCCACCATTATTTTCCAGCACTACCTTAATCCTCTTGGGTATGGAGTTCACCAGAGCTTCACAGGTTGCCACTGGAGTCATCTTCCACTCCTCCATGATGACATCACGGAGCTGGTGGATGTTAGAGACCTTGCACTCCTCCACCTTCCGTTTGAGGATGCCCCACAAATGCTCAATAGGGTTTAGGTCTGGAGACATGCTTGGCCAATCCATCGCCTTTATCCTCAGCTTCTTTAGCAAGGCAGTGGTCACCTTGGAGGTGTGTTTGGGGTCGTTATCATGTTGGAATACTGCCCTGTGGCCCAGTCTCCGAAGGGAGGGGATCATGCTCTGCTTCAGTATGTCACACTACATGTTGGCATTCATGGTTCCCTCAATGAACTGTAGCTCCCCAGTGCCGGCAGCACTCATGCAGCCCCAGACCATGACACTCCCACCACCATGCTTGACTGTAGGCAAGACACACTTGTCTTTGTACTCCTCACCTGGTTGCCTCCACACACGTTTGACACCATCTGAACCAAATAAGTTTATCTTGGTCTCATCAGACCACAAAACATGGTTCCAGTAATCCATGTCCTTAGTCTGCTTATCTTGAGCAAACTGTTTGCGGGCTTTCTTGTGCATCATCTTTAGAAGAGGCTTCCTTCTGGGACCAATTTGATGCAGTGTGCAGCTTATGGTCTGAACACTGACAGGCTGACCCCCACCCCTTCAACCTCTGCAGCAATGCTGGCAGCACTCATACGTCTATTTCCCAACAACAACCTCTGGATATGACGTTGAGCACGTGCACTCAACTTCTTTGGTCGACCATGGCGAGGCCTGTTCTGAGTGGAACCTATCCCGTTAAACCGCTGCAGCTCAGTTTCGGGGTCTTGGCAATCTTCTTATAGCCTAGGCCATCTTTATGTAGAGCAACAATTCTTTTTTTCAGATCCTCAGAGAGTTCTTTGCCATGAGGTGCCATGTTGAAGTTCTAGTGACCAGTATGAGAGTGAGAGTGATAACACCAAATTTAACACACCTGCTCCCCATTCACGCCTGAGACCTTGTAACACTAACGAGTCACATGACACCAAGGAGAGAAAATGGTTAATTGGGCCCAATTTGGACATTTTCACTTAGGGGTGTACTCACTTTTGTTGCCAGCATGAATGACTGTGTGTTGAGTTATTTTGAGGGGACAGCAAATTTACACTGTTATACAAGCTGTACACTCACCACATTGTAGCAAAGTGTCATTTCCTCAGTGTTGTCACATGAAAAGATAGAATAAAATATTTACAAAAACGTGAGGGGTGTGCTCACTTCTGTGAGATACTGTATATATATATATATATATATATATATATATATATATATATATTATATATATATATATATATATATATATATATATATATATTATATTTAACTTATCACTTCTATTTTAAGTTGAATGGGTTGTTTTACAAGGTGAGAGTTAATACGTACTTTAAATCACCAATGATGTAAACACAGTGCTGCAGAAAGTAAGTAGCTGGACTGGGTGCAGAGGAGGTTAGTCATGTTTATGAGGCCTGGGAGGGGTTACCATTTGTTTAGCCAATTCTGGACTCGGCCTTGAGGGAAGTTGAAAATCATATTTGCTCTTACCTCACCAAATCCCCCTTTGCCCAGGACTCTGTATTGGCGAAATGTATTCTTTGTAACTGGCTGCCTGAAAAGAATGACAAGCAGATGATAAGAGACTATGTAATACAGATATGCTATTTCATGTATTATTATTCACACCAATTATTACATCTATGATATTCAGACCGAATGGACCATGGCTTGCACAGAAAAAAAACTTACAAGAATGCAATATTGCTCACCTCTCCAGCCATTTCCACTGTAAAAAGCGGTTGTAATATTGGCTATCCAGGTAATCTGAAAAGGGAGCCATACTGAGGAAGTCATGGACAAGTCTGAAAAAAAAAAAAATAAAAAAAAAAAATGGTAGAAAAAAAAAATAAGGTAGTGTTACTTGAAACAAGAGCAGGTTGGGTGTACATTTCTCTTAGAAATAGCTTTACATGGTCATAGGGCTGAGACAGGTCAGATTTTATATTCATAAGGAGTAATATACCAATGTCCCATCCCATGTCTGAATCTTGGCTTACTTAGAACAGTCTTTAAACAGCTCTTTGCACGGATTGTTTTCCAAGCTGTCTCTGCAACCACTGACCAGCTGTTCAGGGACCTCTGTGATATAATCTTCACTCTGTTAACATGAAAAAAGGAGCTCAGCAGATTCTGTATAACTAATGATAAATAAGCTCTGAACAGTAAACTCATGTCATGCATGCAACACTGTATAATTACAGTAGGATTACAGATTATCCCATTAGACACACATAAGGACAGGCATTTAGAAAGAAAAGCATACATTGAAAGGGGTCCCATGACCTTTACTAAGTGAAGCAGCACATTAAACCAAGGCTGGGAAGCAAGGTCAACACTACTATAGAGAAATGTTCTCCCACAGAGAAAGAAATGATGAGGCAGTGCATCTTTCACAAGTTTTCTTTTGTGAAATTCAGCCAAGACCACTTGTCTTAAAGGTGATTGAAAGGGAATAAAAAAAAAAAAAAAAAAAACAACACTACTTACTTGCGTCGTACAATGGTTTTGCACAGAGAGGCCCTGAATCTCCTCTCCTGGGGTCCCCTGCCAGCACTTCTGGCTCCTTGCCCTGCCAATTTCCCCCATAGCAAGCCTCTTGACATACCGCTTGTCCATTATTACACGTAGCGCTACTTGGCCCTACCCCCCACTTTCGCTTCACAGCAGCAGTAGCCAATGGCTCCTGTAGCTGCCTCCATGTTCAGTGAGGAGAGAGAGAGGAGGAAGGTGCTACGCTTGGACACAGTGCTAGATCAAGATTGGACTCAGGCAAGTATTTGTTAAGAGAAACACAGAAGTTTTTTCAACCTTAATACAGAGAAGGCATTAAGGTAAAAAACCTTCTACCTTTACAACCACATTAACCACTTGCCTACCGGGCACTTATACCACCTTCTTTACCAGCCCAGCATTCAGCGCTGTCGCACTTTGACAATTGCGCGGTCATACAAGATTGTACCCATATGAAATTTTTATCATTTTTTTCTCACAAATAGAGCCTTCTTTTGGTGGTATTTAATCGCTGCTGGGCACTTTACTTTTTGCGCTATAAACAAAAAAATTGCAAAAAAAAAATTTGAAAACAAAATTTCTTTGTTTCTATTATAAAATTTTTCAAACAAGTAATTTTTCTTCTTCACTGATGTGTGTTGATGAGGCAGCACTGATGGGCACTGATAGGCAGTACTGATGGGCAGTGATAGGCAGCACTAATGAGGTGTCACTGATAGGTGGCACTGATGATGGGTACTGATAGACAGCAATGATAGGTGGCACTGACTGGCATCACTGCTGGGCACTGATTGGTGGCACTGCTAGGCATTGACTGGCGCAACTGCTGGGCACTGACTGGCACAACCACTGGGCACTGATTGGTGGCACTGCATTGGGTGGCACTGGTGGGCAGGCTCAGGTGGGTGGCACTGCTGGGCACAGGTAGGTGGCACTGCTGGGGCACAGGTGGGCAGAACTGGTGGGTGGTACTGCTGGGCACCGATCATCACTGAGAGCGTGTTCTGGGAAGACGTCATATGACGCCCTCCCAGAACTGGCCGGCCGCAGTGTAGCCGTCATTTGGCTATCTGCGGTTGGCAAGTAGTAAAGATGGAATCATAAGGACGTTTATTGATGCACATGTGGGGGCTCTTCCATCAGGAGGGTGGTGGATACATATTTGCAAAATTATGTATACCCCACCATGACAGTGCAGCTGTACATTATTAGTTAATCAAGATTAAATTGTACTAAATTATATTCTCTCACCAGCTTTCATAGGGCAAAGTCTTGAAAGAGACCATTACTATAGTGGCTATACAAATGAGAGCTATACACAGGTAAAATGTAAAAAGCTAAATATGAACGACCAACTAAACTTTCAGTTTTAATCAACTAAACGCATTCAAGGTTCATAAAAACAAAAAGCTGTGCAAATTTTAGCATTTTGTTTTTTGTTTAGAAAGCATCCACAGCCCAAGTAGAAAAGCCTGTCCTCTACCAGCATTCGCTCTCTGTGGGGAAGCTGTGATTCTTTTGCAGAGGTCCAACATGCCCCTACATGAGTCAGAGCCAGAGATCTTCAAACAACAGGCACGTGAGCTTTGCTGATTACAGAGCCGTACAACTGGCTAAACAGGGGGTGTGTCAGACCTCTGCATGAGAACACTGTACCCCAACAGAGAGCAAGGGTTCCCACTTGGCAGCTACTGGCAGGGAACAGGCCATTCTATTTACACTGGTGCTGCTTTAGAAAGAAGACAGTCTGTAAGACATTGAACAAATGTACCCAGTTAGTAATCAGAGGAATTAATGGTTTAATTGGTCTTTGAGTGGAATACACACATGTATTGAGTATACTATTCTATTCAGTGTGTCAAGATAGAGAAACATGATATGCTGTGTGCAGCACCTGTAAAGCTGTTCCTATACTAATCATTTTACGGCTAGTGATATTTTGGTCATCTCTGCTAAGTATACTAAGCTGTCCTGTCATTCCCAACCAGCCTAGACTGCAGCACCACCACTCAATGTGTATGATTTGGCTCAATAAAGTCTGCTGGCTCCCCACCTCTGATAATCTGTTTGACTGATCTGTAAGCAGTGAGTTTTAAGTCAAAGATCCAAGTTATAGGAAGATTGCGGATTGCTCACAGTTCAAATAAACAGCACTGATGTTCAGAAGGAGGCAGAAGGTAAGTGCACTATGAGCAGCAACACTGAGCAGGCAAAAGTGGTCTTCATCACCTAAAAAGTTACTGAAGTACAGCAAAAAAAGAGGGCCCCAGATGTAAACATCAAAAAAGGAGGGCCCCAGATGCAAAGGCAGATATTGACCACCAAAAGTATATTTTACACCATCAGATAAAAGTCATATTTCAGCATTAATGTGCCCTTCTCTTTTCTAGGTGGACCATTTATCCATAACACTTTCAACAGACCAATGGTCAATTTGGTGTATTAGGTTACTGCACAGCATTTCATAAACAGTAAGGGGTTTGTGGTAATGGGCATTTATTTGCATCCGGACAGCTGGTCTACACCAACTGGAACCTAGATCTTGTACGTCAGATGCAAGCTTGATGCACCTGAAAACCAGATGCTGCAGTTGCCCACCTATACAAGTGCAAGGTTTGTTCTCTGGAAATGAAACATCACCAGAACAAAACCAAACCAGACATTTAAAAAGGCAGTAACCTCTAGTAACCAGATTATAGTCAGATCAGTTAGACTACTTCTAACAGGTACAGTGCCTTGAAAAAGTATTCAGAATACTTGAAATGTTCCACATTTTGTCATGTTACAACCAAAAACGCAAACGCAGATCAACACAAAGTGGCACATAATTGTGAAGTAGAAGGAAAATGATAAATGGTTTTCAAAATGTTTTACAAATAAATATCTGAAAAGTGTGGTGTGCATTTGTATTCAACCCCCTTTACTTTGATACCCCTAACTAAAATCTATTGCAACCAATTGCATTCAGAAGTCACCTAATTAAATAGAGTCCACCTGTGTGTAATTTAATCTCAGTTTAAATACAGCTGTGCTGTGAAGTCCTCAGAGGTTTGTTGGAGAACATGAACAAACAGCATCATGAAGGCCAAGGAGCACACCAGACTGGTCAGAAGTTTAAAGCAGGGTTATATTATAAAAAAATATCCCAAGCTTTGAACATCTCACACAGCACTGTTCAGTCTGAAAATTAAAAGAGTATGGCACAACTGCAAACCTACCAAGGCATGGCCATCCACCTATACTGACAGGCAGAGTAAGGAGAGCATTAATCAGAGAAGCAGCCAAGAGGCCCATGGTAACTCTGGAGTAACTGGAGAGATCCACAGCTCAGGTGGGAGAATCTGTTACAGGACAACTATTAGTCGTGCACTCCACAAATCTGGCCTTTATGGAAGAGTGGCAAAAAGAAAGCCATAAGACCCATTTTCAGTTTGTGAGAAGTCATGTGGGAGACACAGCAATCATGTGGAAGAAGGTGCTCTAGTCAGATGAGACCAAAATTGAACTTTTTGGCCTAAAAGCAAAAGGCTATGTGTGACAGAAAACTAACACTGCCCATCACCCTGAATACACCATCCCCACCCTGAAAAATGGTGGTGGTAGCATCATGTTGTGGGGATGCTTTTCTTCAGCAGGGGAAATGAAGCTGGTCAGAGTTGATGGGAAGGTAGATGGAGCCAAATACAGGGCAATCTTAGAAGAAAACCTGTTAGGGTCTGCAAAAGACTTGAGACTGGGGCAGAAGTTCACCTTCCAGCAGGACAACGACCCTAAACTTACAGCCAGAGCTACAATGGAATGGTTTAGATCAAAGCATATTCACGTGTTAGAACGGTCAAAATCCAGACCTAAATCCAATTGAGAACCTGTGTCAAGACTTGAAAATTGCTGTTCACAGACGCTCTGCATCTAATCTGACAGAACTTGAACTATCTTGCAGAGAAGAATGGGCAAAAATGTCGCTCTCTAGATGTGCAAAGCTGGTAGAGACATCCCCAAAAAGACTTGCAGCTGTAATTGCAGCGAAAGGTGGTTCTACAAAGTACTGACTCAGGGGGCTGAATACAAATGCACGCCACACTTTTCAGATATTTATTTGTAAAAAAAGTTTGAAAACCATTTATCATCTACCTTCCACTTCACAATTATGTGCCACTTTGTCTTGGTCTATCACATAAAATCCCAATAAAAAACATTGACGTTTTTGATCGTAAAATGACAAAATGTGGACAATTTCAACGGGTATGAATACTTTTTCAAGGCACTGTATCTGTGCTTTCCCATCCTTACTACTCTTTCACCGCTTTTCTGATTAGGGCTAACTGCACTGAGTATAATGGAAATGAACCAGCAGCCAGTCATTTTATTGTATCTTATCGTATCACACTGCTTAATAGTTGTAGCTAATGGATGCAATATTTTGCATGCAACTTAGAACACACCTGTCTGTAAAATATGCAAAATAACCATAAAGTACATAGGGTGCTTGCTTTTTCATTTTATAGTACACATGATCTGTATTTTACATATATTAGCCCAATACTAACCTAACATCCTTTAGAAGCATAAGTAGAAATTAAAAAGTTT